ACATAGGCCTAAGCGTGATTTAAAAAAATCTTAGATCCATAAATTTCAGGCCAGGTCTTTAAAGATAGAAATGCGATACTGTATAATTAGGCCTAAGTTGTCCTGGATATTAAGTAGATCCCTGATAAAAGATCATGAGAAATTTTTTGGCATTTCATTTTGACTATAAAGGTAATGTGATGATGAATTTTACTATATAAATGTGTCATTTCCGGCCATCTCGAGAGGTACTATTTCCTGAGGTGGTTGTGAAATCACGTTTTTGAAGTAGGCTTATGTAAAGTACATACTCAAAGACAATGTTTTTAAGCTTTGTTTTCTATGGGATACACACATACATTAATAAAATCTCTATGGTTGTCAAAAATCGCTGATAAAAGATCATGAGAATTTTTTTTGGCGCTTCATTTTGAGTAATGGTGATGTGATGATGATGAATTTTACTAAAAGTGACATTTTTGGCCATCTAGAGGTACTATTTCCTAAAATTTTCTCACCTCAGCTCCAACCATTGTGGGGCTGAGGTGGGTGTCAAATCACAAAATGCCCTCCCCCCTCCACTTTTCAAAACAGATCTATGCCCTTCCCTAGGTATGACATTAAACTCCATCGAGTCGGCTCCTGATGTATGTCTATAGTGACTGCTGTTTGTTTTTAGGATGTGATCTGGTTTTTCATGTACATTTTTCATGATTATGACTATTCTGGATAAAGAATGTTTTTAGCAGAGGTGGATTCAAGCCCCCCCCCCCTTTCATTTTTTTAAGGAAAAAAAAAGAAAAATATATTCAAATTGAAGTGCGAGAGTATATTCAAATTGAAGTGAGAGAGTGTAATTTCCAGCCATCTAGAGATGCCCTAATCATAAATTTTCTTACCTCAGCCCCAACCATGGTGGGGCTGAGGTGGGTAGTTCCTCAGTCTGTGAAAGTCCCTCCCTGGTTCACCTCTCTTTCGAATTCCTGGATCTGCCACTGTTGATTTATTATTTAATTATTTTATAATGCGTCTATTGCAATTTTCACTTTATCCTCTCAAACAGTCCTAAGAACGTTCAGAGTGCGCTACTTCACAGGGGGATTCGCCCCCTTGACCCCGCCGGGGTCATACATAATTCGCATTCGTTCAGTGGACTTTTGAGGACACTATTACATCTGCTAAAAAAATATTATACAGTTTATATCAAGTTACAATAAACACGGAAATAGCCTTACATATACTTTCTGAAACCTGGCATCCATCTACACAAGACATTAAAGAGTACTAAATAAAATAAAAATAATAATAATGTTATTAAAGTTAAACAACACATTCTAAATGAGTGTGTGCTTTAATATAATATTAATAAATAAATAATGATGATGATAAAATAATGCAACAGAGAATTCTAATGCTACCTTGACACTAGTGGTTAGTGTTCTTTCAGCTTGTATGATGGTATTAGCTGCCATTCCTGTAAAATATGCCGTGCACTCTGTAGCATGGCACAGCAGCAGAGCAGTACGCTTGCACTAGGCCTAGATAGGCTAGTCTACATACAGGAAGTTTACATAAATATTCTCTGGCCTACATTGTTATTAACATCGAAGTCTAAGCCTATAAGTCTACACATTTTAACTTACTCACTTTCCTTTCTTTTCAATTAACAACAAAATCAATACACCTAGTCCCCTAGACATAGGCTAAAAAAAACAACACAAAGTTGAGTAAGTTATCCAATTGCATCCTGCTGCAGACAGGTGATCGAAATAGTATTTGCATTACCCGCTACATGGGGATAGGATTCAACACTAGTCATTAAGTGCAAGCTCGGTAGTCTAGTGGTTATGGCGCCAGGATAGTTACCTGGAGGTCGTGGGTTCAATTCCCACCCGAATCACTTGCAAATTTTTTTGGGGGACGTACTGAGTATTCACTACAATAACACATCAGCGAGGGAAAACCATCACTCCTATAAAAAAAAAAACGATTTTATCCTATGATTATGACATCATTTGATTTGGTTTGTGAAATCATTTTTTAATTGTATACACGATAAATCATTATCATATCCTGCTAGTGTGAAAACTTATTTTATTTTCCATATGAACAATTGCTTTTTAGCTTTTTATCATTTATCGTTAACGTCATAGTGTAAAAAGGCCTTAAAAGGCACCCCAATTAATATTAAAAAGTCTTCAGAGGAGGTCAACAAAAAGAATGTTACAGAAGCTTTTTAATCTGATATGAACAGCTTTATGAAATCACATGCAGTACATAACCACTAGATGATACACACAACAGCAACTAGACTGGTCATGTATAAGAAAAGAAAATTATAATACGACAAAAAAAATTTTTCACGAAGAAAGCCACTAATTACAGAGTCATCAGCAAATTTACAATTATTGCATAGTTCGTAATCACCTTCATAATTCTTTCAATGATGTTGGTTCCAC